AACCCGATTGAAATGCTGTGGCGGGGCCTCCCGAGAGCTGTGCATAAAAAAATGCCTCAATGAAATGGAGCAATGTTGGAAAGTAGAGGGGGCCAAAATTCCTCCACAACGAAGTGAGAGACTGATAAAGTCATACAGAAAACGATTACTCCAAATTATTGCCGCTAAAGGTGGTTCTACAAGCTATTGAATCATAAGGTGTGCTTAGTTTTTCACACATGGTTTCTCCATTTTGGCTTTCTTTTTGTAAAATAAATGATGACATGGTATAATATGTCATGTGTTGTTGTTCGTCTGAGGTTGAATTTACCTACTTCTGAGAACTGCTAAGCACCAGATGATTTTTATTATGTCCTGATATGTAAAACCATAGAACTCAAAGAGGGTGTACTTTCTTTTTCACAGAATTTGTATTTGTTTCATTATTCAGTCCTCATGCATTCTCTCTACATTACCAAGACACCTCAACATATGTATTTTGTACTGATCACTTACTTTTGTATTCAATTTATATTTCTCACCCATTCATTTTTGACTCTTATCTCTTCTTGTTTTACTACATGTATTTCTTAAGTAAACTATTTCCATTGCATTCAACTTAATTTTATGCCTTTACTGACATAAACAATATAAATAAACTGACTTAGCCAACTTTCACTTCCACATAAGAGTGGGGTGAAGCACACTGTTATATGCAGCTGTTTTCACTTATTTCAATAAACATTCATTCCTTGCAGTAGAACATTTACGACCCACTATTTTCATACCAGCATTTGCACATTTTAAAATTTCTCCAACTATTTCCCCATCTTTAGGAAGCTCCTGCCAACTATACCAATTCATCTACTTGCTCTCCAACCATTTTCCCCCCATTTATGTATAACTTGCAATTTTGCCACTCCATTTTCCCTGTCAAACACAACTCCCTTGGTCTTAAAGTATTTTTCAGATCCATACTCCTTATTGCAACATATGATCAATCTAGCATCTGCTGCAAATCATTCAGATTTACAGCCAACAACACGTCATGGTCTGCATACAAATGTATACATACTGTTCACATCCTAATACACTTCTAACATCACCACAAGCGCTACTTATATATTCATCTGTAAGTGCTTTAAACACCCAAAGAGACATCATATTTCCTTATCTGTTGAACTATTTGCTGAGCATTCTATTTATCTGCCTGTACGTTTTTCTTTTACCATCTGGTACTCAAGTAACTACCCCAAAATATGTGTCATAAACTTACTCTCAGCTTTATTTTTCAAGTCAGTTGAACAGCAAAAATCTGATCTACACAGCCCCTACTCAACATGTATAAAGCCAAAGCGCACTTCCACATGTTGCTCATTGTTACCACTTGTATTCTCTCGATCAGAAAGCCAAATATCTTCCAGGGCACACTTAACAAACTAATATCTCTATAGTTTCACATTCACTCTTTCTATCTTTGCTTGGTATATGAAAGCTACAATGATATTCGACTTCGGTGAAGATTCATGGCGAACTAGACATCCCTGAAGGAGGAAGGGTGGCATCGTGGTAGAGATCGATGGCCAGATGGTGAATTCTGGCTGGCAAAATCTCTCCAGAAAAAGGAGAGATCATGAGATTGCCCACATGTACTCTGGACCGCTGGTCCTCGTGAGTAAACTGCAGGAACTGAAGTTTTTGCAGTCAGCCTGAGAGTCAAGTGGCTGGGAGTCGAGGGATTTCTACCAAGCTCACAGCTGTAATGTAGCCTATATGGGTATAAGGTTTGCTGAGCCTAATTTCTTAATCACTTTTGAATATTGCTTCTTAATTGCTTTTTAGCTATTAGGAACTTTCGCAATGGCACGTTTTAGAGCAAATACAGGTTTAAGGATTTTTTTAAAAAAAAAATCTTTTCTTTTGGAATAAACAGCAGAAGGGTGATTAGAATGTTGATTTTGGAAAGTTACAAATGGACTAAGGATCCAGGTGGATTTGAAATAAAATGTTGATATTAATTATAAGAATCTTTCCCCTGGGAAAATGCTGGTGTTTTGAATTCTTTAAAAAAAAAAGATAGGATGGGACTTTGAAGGTTGAGCACTAAGAGACCCAGAAGATTACAATTAAAGGAGAGGAACACTTAAATGTGACTTACAATACAAAATGGAGCAAAATACTTT